TAGCTCTGTTACTAATTGGTTCATGGAGAAGTAGGTTTAAGCAATATTTGCATATGCTGCTCCGGAAAAGGTTGTTAAATCAATTCACTAATATGGAGAATTTAGTTTGCAATTCTTGAAATTTGTTGAATAAATAATACACAAATCAATAAACCAGTTAAATAAGAAAGATAAGCGTTAGAAAATTTAAAGTTTAAATTTGATTTTCTTCAAGTTTTGAATAATTTTGTGTGATCGGTATTAAGAAATCTCTTTCTTCTCTATTAATAATGTACGTTATAGAAACTCCAGTTAAATAAGGGAGATAAATATTCTCTTCATACATTTGTTTGAATATAAATTGAAGTTCAAAATTCATTTTCTTCAAGTTTTGAATATTTTTGTAGGATTAACTACTAAGAAATATTTCGTATTACTCCTCGGTTTTATTTTATATAATGATATTTGAATGGATCGTGAAGCTTCAGCAAGAAAAGAGGACATTTTACACATACTAACGGTACTCTTAGAACTTGGGTCATATACATGCTATAATATTTTTATGGTTATAAGAGCATGTCATTAAAAGTAAACTAAAAAGTTTAAAATTAAAGAATTTTCAAATATAAAAGTTGCCGCTCTTGTTTCTAGAAAAGTAAAAATGAAAGAATGTCATATATAATGAAACAAAGGTAGCAGAAATATTTAACCATTTTTTCCTTTATAAACATGCTAAAAGAGCAATAAAAATGTGTTATCTTTTTGGGAAAGACTAAGAAAAAAAGTTTCACGTAAAATGAACAAATGAAATTAAAAAAATATTGAACTGTTTTTTCCCGGTACAGGAACAAGTTGCTATAATAATTTCTTTAAAAGACATTAATTCTACGTCGATCATTGAACACCAACCTTGGCGTGCTCCAATAGTTAAGTTTACTTGAATCACATTGCATTTGACATTTCATACAATTTCTACCCTAAAAAACTACAATTTAATCCAAATTGTTGGGCCCGTGCGCAAGCACGGGCAAACAACGCTAGTAATATATAGAAGAGCGAGAGAAGCAGCTGAAGGTCGTCATGGGTGCTTGCTGCTAAAGGGTATTCTGGTCATTTCATATTGCTCCTTTATTTGGCTGAAAGCTAACGTGTGTGAATCAACTTTACAGCTGGTGCAAATACAAGAAGTCTGCGGCGCTTTTGTATGACAGATAGGTCACTCTCTATCTCTATCTATTCATCTTCTTTGTTTTTCTCTGTCTGCATTCTACTACTTCATCCTCTGATTTCTTCTTTGTTTCAACTTTCAAGTGAGTGAATAATTTGTTATCACTGTAATCTATGAGTTTGTTTTGAATTATTGTAAGTTCTTTGCTGTTTTGATAGCAATTTGGTTGCTACTTTCGATTTTACGGAAAAAATCTGTACGTTCCCCTTCAATGTTGAATTTTATCGATGTCATTGCTACTTGTTTTTTGGGGGTTCCCTAGTGCTAGCACAGTGTCGTATGTTAATTAGTCAATTTTGGGTTTTACTGATTATGCTTTTTGAGAAATTTTGGACTGATTATACATCTAAATCTCTTTATATCTCTTTATATGCTTTTCTCTACTGTTGCTTTGAATAATATGTTACTGTTGCTTTCTCTACTGGGTTTTACTGTTGCTTTGAATAATAATATGCTTTGAATAATTGTTGCTTTGTATGTGAAACAATTTACTAAGAAATTTTAGTGATACCAAGAACAGAACTTCTTCCATTTTTCTTCATACAATAAGTTGTTTTCTTTTTCAGAATATATGTCAAAACATTATTGTGCCTCAAATATTTATCTATCTTTCTTCTATAAGTTTATTTATTTTTTCCCGAAATGTTAACTTATTTGTTTGAATAGGTTGATTATTGTTTCTTAAAATATTTGGTTGTGCTTCTTGGTTTGTGTTTAATCCTGGGATTTGTTCTTGCAATTTTACACTTATCAATATACAAGTTATATTGAGAAAATGGAAGAAAGACTTAGTATCAGTGAAATTACACCACTAACTACAGAATGGACTTGTAAAGTCCAGACTGTAGATAAATTTCGGCCGCGAGACAGTAGAGATCAGCGAGTTCATTTTCAGACAATAATTGTCCAGGATGTAAACGTAAGTCACGTTACAACCATAATTGTAACATAACATCTTCTCACTTGTACTCTTCCAATAATTACTGCGTTATCATTCTTGATAACACTGTAGGGGGAACAAATTTGTGTAATACTCTATGGTGACGACATTAAACGATGTGATAACTTGTTCGAACTTTTTGAGACATATCTGATTTCAACTGCGAAGGTTAGAAATCCGCAGCCTTATTCACTACATATTGGCCAGTTTGAGTGGATCGTTGACAGATTCACTATTGTTGAGTCTATCCCAAAAACTAAAGAAAAGGAGGCACCGTTACCTCCTCCGTCGAGACTGAGTGCGATTTCGTTCGCGGACGTTGAACAACAGCCTTCTGGTGTTGAATTTGGTATGTTTCAAATAACCCTATGCCTTATAAGAGCTTAATTTCTTCGGACCCATGGTCAATGCAAGTATATTGGTTTTACCTACATTTGTTTTTTGTTTATAACAACAGATCTACTAGCTGTAGTGGCAAACTGTGGTGCAATGCAATACACCGCTGATCAGACTAAGAGATTTCAAGAGGCCATAGTTATGGACAATACGTGAGTCATTTAATTTTCTGTTACATAACAAAATCTCTGACACTTATAAAAGTACATGTACAGGAAGAAACCTCTTTTCTTCACTATATGGGAAGATTTGGCAAGCAATGAAGGAATTGAGTTACTGAGACAAGTGAGGCAACTTCAAGAATATCCTGTTATTCTCGCGAAACGGATAGGTACCACAACATACCATGGTGGTAAGTTCATGAAGTTCCTATTTTTACATATGGATAATGGTTCCGCGTTGGTTATTAACAAAATTTGCATACACAGTTTCCCGTTTGGCAACAAGATACAACTCAACAATCTTAATCAATCCCCTATATGTGCAAGCAACTGAATTACGGAATTGGTACAATACAAACTGTGCTTAAAATGTATCACATCATTATTCAATTATAATTTTTTCTGTGAAAAAAAAAATTTGTCTGACATTTCATGTGCGAATTACAGGGTAGATGAGAACAAAGAAATGTTAATCGAATACACAGTGAAGAGTTCAGCGGAGTCAGCTTCATCGCTTAATCTTGTAGCTGTTGACGATGAAATATTATCTGTTTTATCTATTGCTACTCAAACCTCCAGTGTGAGTTCAGTAAATTACAATATGGATAACTGTTAAACCTCCAGTGTGCCACACCATGTATCTTTTANGAGTCAATACTTGGGGCTAATGCAAAAGCAACTAAGAAACGGAAAAGGGAACTAAGTACTCTACTAAAGCCGCAGTCAAGGTTAGAATATTTGCATACTGCTCTCATCCATACAATTTTTTATGATATTTGTTTCAGGATTTGTTTTGTCTTTCAAAATGGTGTTCCATTTCGAGATATTAAAAAAAAAAGTAGTGTTTGCTAAGGAGAATGAATTGATTTAGGTGGTGAAAATCATGCAATAGTTTATTTTAAAGCTGGACAACTTAGACCTTTTAGCTGCACATGTAAGGAGTCGAGATATTTTTTTCCTGCATAAGTTTCTTGATTAAATTTTGGCTTCCTTTTTGGTCTCATAAAATTTTGAAATGCCTGATGAGATATCTATTCTCCTTGATTTTTTATATACTGACAAATCACTTACATAACCATTTTATGTCACCATGTAATGTATGTACCGCTAAAGCTCTCTTTGGGAGGTAAGTTGAGTTATCACAATACAAGAAAAACGTCATATTTAGTGTTACCCACCTCTATGCCGGCTTGAGTGAGGCAGCTAACATCCCACAAGAATAACCATGGATATGTCCCATTACAGGTACATATTTTGTAGTTATTGAGAGTGAGATGTTTGGATAGGTTGACTTATGCAGTTTCGTGGGATCTGTTTGGAAGTGTTAAACGTAATGTTTCAAATATGAAAATAAAATCTCTCTTTATTTGTACAGATTGTCAAGGCAGTGATGTTCGCTGAAATGGTATGCGATGTACAGAGACATTTTGACAGATCATACCGATCTTTTAACAAGGTTTAGATAGTTGGCCGCCTTAACAAAATGTTCCACATTTTTTGCCTAAATAGTTGTCAGTAGTGTATGCCTATGTTTTTTAAGGCAATTGGTATTATTTTTTGGATCTTGGAGCGGCCTCCAAATATTGTATAATGACATCTTATAATTAGGATCCATGTACATTTCCGAAAGTTTGCGACGTTTATCCCATGGTGTTTACTTTTCTACTACTGATGTCTACTTTTACTATTTAACAAAAGAATTATAGATGTATAATGGGTTTCGGCGTCATAAAAAAGAGCTAAACAGAAGGATTTCCTCTGTTTTGAGAGGTTATTTTCGATTTCGGATGCTTCGTTACAATCTCTTATGGCTTGTGGAAATTCCTGGAGATTTATGACGTGATTACAAAGAGCTAAACAAATGGATCTGTTTTCAAAGGTTATTTGAATCAAGATTTTTGTACCATGTATTACTAGCTTCTTCTTCTTTTTCTTCTGCAAACAATGAAGTGGTTCAACATTACTCTAGAAAGCTAACTAATGAAATTTTTAATTTTTTAGCTATGTAATCTCAAGATAGATATACAAACAGAATTGTAATTCTAGCAGTAACTACAAAGTTATTGCACTCCAGGTCATCATGTAGATTTACATTTACCTTTCTTTCGCTACTGCACATATAAACACTACTATCAGCAAAATTATCTGCTAATCTTTTGTGACAAATAAAAATAAGTTTACACTATAATTTGTTGGGCCCATGCAAAGCATGGGCAACATTATCTAGTCTATACTTATATTATTATTATTATACTATATAGAAGAGCCCTAAAGCAAGCAGGAGACCGTCGACATCCCTGCTTGCCGACCAAGGGCTATTTGGTCATTTTAGTCCAGCTGTATATTGAATTGTCTACTATGTCCCTTGTGACTGTTACTGAATCCTGATTAGAATAGGGATTTCTATGGTCAATTTGCAGTCCACCGCTTCTCACTCTTCACCTTTCTGATCTTTTTCTTCCTTCAGTTATACAAGTTTCAGTCCGTTTCCTTTGCGGATTTGCACCACTTTTGTACTCATCGGTTCTTGATGTTGTGTCATTTTCTTGAACAAAGAGAAATTGGGGTTTCGGCTGAGTTTCTCTGCCGCCCAAAGTCTCCACATCGTCTAACCACAAAAGCTGGTTTCTTCTTCTCCAGTTCTATTTCCGCCATTAGCTAGAGGAATATCTTATATTTCGATTTTAAGGAACTGAATTATCGGTTTATGAAATTGGAGTTGGTGGTGATATCTAAGGCTCTGAATGCTTCGACAACTTCGTCAATTGGGTGGTAAAGTGAGTTGCCGTTGAATTTCCAGAAGATTAGGAGAAGTAAGGAGAGGTTCTCGGTGGTAAGAGTTAAGCTACGGTGGAGCAAACTGGTGATTAATCATGGATTCCTGCTTTCTCAGCTATTTTTTTTAGTTTGTATTTTCGTTAAGCTGATTTTAACCTTAGGTTCGAAATTGAGTTTCTTAGCATTCTGTCATTCTTCTGTCATTTTAGTGATGGATTGAATGAATTAAAGGTCATTAAATGCACATAGGATTTTACTGAAGTTCATATGGAAATAAACAAGCATGGACTGCGAGGCATCTGCTTGACAGTGGTGTGGGTGGCTCATATTGCAAGGTCATGAATGAACCTTATTAATCCTCTGTTCCACAAGAAAACTATAAGAGTTTTTGTTGTTGCCTAACGTTTTGGCATACTATAGAAACTTATTTAATCAGTTGATTTAGACAATCTAATCTAGCTTTAACATTTATCTTTGTATCGTCCATTTTTGCGCAATTTCAAATACATTTGGTTTTATTATGGAGAATAATATAAATCGTACGTTCTTATATGTTATTTTAGAGTGTTGTTGTACATATTTACAATGTCGAAACACCGCTTTAGTTTTCCAGCACCAAACATATTTCGATGTACATATCTATTGGCACAATATTCTCTCTCTAATTTAAGTTACTACATCACTTATATTTGCTAACTAATACTCTTGAACCAATAAGGTTCAGTTAGAGTTAGAGTCAATTTATATGCAAGACGTCGTTCTAGAGGTTGTATAAGCGCTTCTACTGAGATTAAGATAGGTTTATTAGTAGTTTCTGTTGAAGTATTTTTCAGTTCAGTTAATTCTTAACAATTACTGCAATTGGTAGAGTCTTTTATGCCTGAATATTATAGGAAAAATTAAATCTATGTTGATCAAACCTCCAAGAGCTGATTTTCCTTTGAATTCCAAGATTACTGAGAGGGCTAAAGTCTTCCCAATTGCTTTTGTAGTTTCTTTTGGAATTCTTTGCTAAAATCACAATACAATTTAGCTGCATTTGGATATAACAAAGAAAACAGAAGGAGTGAGTGAGACAAAGAGTACATCTGTTTCTCTCAACATCCTCATCTTTGTTATTTAGTGGAAACTTTTTCTATTAGATTATGGTTTATAATTTTGACATCTCTGTAAGTGCAGGTATATCGATTATAAGCATTCTTTCAATTGGTTTGCTCAAAAGTTACGTTGCCAATTACTCTAGCTTTACATCATACCAAAGCCATTGGGTTCTGTTAAGAGTACAATCATTTGCATGAAGTCATTGATGCTACCTGCACATACTTGATCAACAAAAATATAAAGTTTTTTCTCAGAGGAAACACAATGTTTTTCGAGAGAGTGTTAAATTCTATGATAAAAGTTGGTGTTTGCTATGATGTTGATATTTGTTGAAGAAATGCTTTTCTGCACTTGTAGAAACTGAAGGTTTACTAGCTTGTATGATAAGAGAGAGGAAGGAAACTATCAGTATGAGTAGATTGACTTCTGCTTAAATTCTCATGTCTTGCTGACTACAACAAATGCTTGTCCTCGCATTCATCAGCTGAGGTAATGCTAAACTTAACTTTTCTACTACACTTGCAACTATATGCTGATTTGTTTTATTTTTTGAATGATACATGTTCGGGTGTTGTTGTGAATTATCTCCATTGAAGAAATACGCCATTAAATTTTGCTGAAGATGGATAATTTTTCCATATAAGACAAATGAAGCATTCCGGTAATTCTTTGTTAATCTGATGCTTTTAATCGATATTTTCCTAACGAAGGCAAAGAGATTAAAATATTCTATTGCCAGTTGTTTTGCTTGTTGTTCATTTCAGTGATTCTTGTTGAATCAAACCTTTTGCGATTATGCTATAAATAAGGGCTGGCTTGTGTGCTTACAAATCGTCGTTGCTAAACTGTTATCCTTCCTGTTGCAAATATTACAATAACTACTAAATATAATGTTTTACAGTAGGCAGATAGACCTTGGAATGAGGAAATACTGGATAATGTGACTCGAAGCTGTGAAAAGGGATTGTGCTGCTGTTCTTTTATCTACAAAATGGCTTTTTTGCCGTAAACTTAACCTTCGCTCAACTTAAACTACCACTTCTATGTAAAAAGAACTAAGAAAATTGAATATGAAAGTTGAGCAAGGAATGACTAATGTCTTCCTGCCGTCTACTATTGTTCTTGTAATAGGTCTTATGTCATTGAGCCCGGGCTTGTCTGGCCAATCCCATCTAGTTACCTATATATATGCTCAGCAACAAATATTAAAATGTAATAACGAGTCAAGTGTCCTCCACGTTTCGCTTGCAAGGTTATGTTCAATTGTTCATAGCATTAACACCGTCCACTGTCCCATTTTGTCACGTTAAACTTGATCTAATCAGTACTTTTATATGAGTTTTTTCAGTTTTATTTTTTAAAACTTAAAATTCCCCAAATTCAGAATACGTTTCGCTCTAATCTGTCTTATGTAACTGTATCGGATTAGAAGTTTTAGACTTGTACGTTGTAATAAGTCCTGATACCGAGACGTCTGTGGTAAAGTGTTGTTTACAACAATGAATTCGGTTGGCGCTTCAAATGCATGCATTCCATGCCTTCGTTTTACAGCGTTGAAACATTCTTCCACGTTATTAAGACTTTTAAATTGTGTGTACTGATAATACATAATTTTTTTACGCCATTAAATTACAGTGACATAAAACAACAGATAACTTTTCATGGCAAGTCTGATACCTTGAATAAAACAACTTGCTGTATGTAGTTAAATAGGAGTCCATTACTCGCATAGTCACTCAACTATCCCAAATTATCTCCTAAAGTCACTTTACTTTCGTTTGTAACAACAAAGTCATTGAACTATGCTTATTACACTCAGAAGGTCACTCAACTAGATTTTTCAAATTTTCGATTGCCAAATACCTATTTTACCCTCTAAATTATAAACATTTATCTTCTTTTTTTTTTTTTAACTTTTTAATATTATGATTTTTCCTTTTATCTTAGATTATGGATTTCCCTGTAGAATAAAAATAATGATCATAGTAAAAGAATTAATTAGAATAATTTGTTTGTAATAATAATTTTAGTATTAACAAAAAAATTCAAAAATTTATTTACACAATTCAAAATGAAAGAAAATAAAGGTTGTAAAATATATATTCCATGCACGTAATATAAAAATAATTATTTAAATAAAGATATTTTGGTAATATACATTATATATTCTTGAAAATTATTCTCTATTTATATTATTATGTTTCTACCAACTTTCCGACGATACAAAGTTATATCACCGGAAAGCAGGGAAACTATCTATACAGATAAAATATGTTATGTTAAGTCATGCATGGAATATATATATAATATATTATAAAAATATATTTATTTTTATATTACGCACATGGAATATATATATTACAACCTTTATTTTCTTCATTCTGAATTGTGCAAATAAATTTTTAAATCTTTGTTGTCAATACTAAAATTATTATACTAAAAAATTATTCTAATTAATTTTTTTTTACTATGCTCATTATTTTGTTATTCCAGCATTATATATGCTTAAATACTTTCTATTTTTTTAATTTATAAATAATATTTATTTATTTTATAGGTAAGTCCATAATATAAATTAAAAAGGGGAAATCATAATATTAAAAAGGTTAAAAAAAAATAAAAAGAAGATAAATGTTTATAATTTAAAGGGTAAAATAGGTATTTGGCAATCCAAAATTTGGAAAATCTAGTTGAGTGACCTTCTGAGTGCAATTGGCATAGTTCAGTGACTTTGTTGTTACAAACGAAAGTAAAGTGGCTTTAGGAGATAATTTGAGAAAGTTGAGTGACCATGTGAGCAATGGACTCAGTTAAATAGTGTAAAAAGTTGCCTTAATCTTGTATGAAGAGGTCCGGCCTGGCCTATGTCCTCCTTTCTTTTGTGATATGTATACAAGCACATCCAAGCTTTGATGGGTGAGATTAAGATAAAAAACATAATGTAAATTTCTTTCACAATATAGGTGGATATAGCACCTTGCCTACTCATAAGCTGAGGCGGAATCAGGTTTACAAGCTTATGGTTCGGGATCCTAATCTTTTTAACTTATTTTGGGTTTTAATTTAATAATTTTACATATTTAATAAAAATTATAAGACGAATACATGATTTGAACCAAAGTTACTGAGTTCGGCCGAACCCGTATCCGATAATGTGGCTCCGCCTCTGCTCATAAGTCATAACTAAAGCGAAAGTTAACTCTTTATACTTTCTCCGTTCACTTTTAGTTGCCCATTTTTAACTTTGCACTTTCTTTAAAAAAAATGAAAGAATATATTTTACAAGTTTATCCATAATAATTATAATATTTTATAAAGTACTGGCAAATGATTATCTGGGGAATGACTGGTTAATGATAATTAAGGGTAAAACAAGGATTTTTTTTTTTTTTATCTTTCTCTTAATTTGCTAAAATTGACAAGTAAAAATGATGATGTATTTTTAGTATAATGAACAAGTAAAAGTGAACGAAGCGGAGCAGAGTAATAATTAAGATAACTTAGCAAAAGACATGGTCGTACCTAACTTGATTTTCACAAAGTGGGCGAAACATATAGGATCAACTTATATAAATCTTCTCATTTTTCAAGTCGAACCAGTCCGTTAATTTGTTGGACTATATAATGGAATTTATGGTCGACCTCTTTTAGATATGACTGTGCCTATAGTGTTTTGTCATTAACCTAGTAGTTAACAGAGTTGTGCATTAATTGTGTGTGGGAAAACAAATGTCTAAATCAAATTGATGAGATCGCACAGTAATAATCCAAAAGACAATGCCAGCAGTACATTAACTTGAGTTGTCCAGTTCTTGTGTTTGGTTCATTCTGAGACAGCTCCTAGTTTCCCTTTAATAAAGCAGCGGATAGATTATAGGAGTAGTAATTTTTTCAAAGAATATGTAAACATTAATCTTTTTTAATCAAGATAAAGTTGATCTTAAGATTACTTGTTTATAACAATTTGAACTTTCTGGTATGCAAGGAATTATTTTACTTCTATATATAAGATCAAGGGAAATGCATATCCTTTCCCTGTCTCCGCTAATGCCCCTATTTAGGTTATTGCCACGTCAAAGAAAGGAATAACAAAATAATTTTTAATTTTTCTAGCTGTTTACAGCTGTTGCTCACTTTTTCTCTCTTTTGATCAGTCTCTCTCTATATATAAGTGGATGATTTTAAGCTTGAACTATAGTGCAAAGGTTACTTCAGCTAAGTAACAAGGACTTCGAGAGCTATTAGCCATGGCTATCTCCAAACTGATTCTTGTTGCTATGGTGTTTTTCTCTCTACTAGTTGTTCATCTTGTGGAAGCTGGCAACCAAGTTTTGGTATTCTTTAATTAAGCTTATGATTGTTGAAATATTTTTATGATACTACGTTATAGCTTTTATTTTTCTTTTCTTTTTTGCATACTTTAAATAAGATAGAAATTCTGTATGGTTGTTAACGTCTGCTCATGAATTTGATCATTCAGGTGAACACGGATGCAACAGAGAGTTTCTACACCCCAAAATTAGGTATTAAGCTACTTACTTCTTTCTTCCTTTCTCTCCGGCCCCGAGTTATAATTAGTAACTTTATCTGTATCGGGGCGACTCAAACACATACGGGGCTTAAATCCAAAGTTTAATACGAGGTCTAAATTTTTTTTAAAACGTTATAAGATATCTTTTTATTTGAAGTCTATTCTTCTAACTTTTTGAGATATAAAGTTAATAATTTTTTTTATAATCGATTTTCTCTAATAATTCTTGCTCGATTGATAATATAGTCAACCTATCTAATTTTTCTTAAGATATTCTTGATCTTAGATAAGCTTTTACAAAGCAATAGAAGTATAGAACTATTAGTAAAAGTATTGCTGAACACTTGAACTAGTTATAAAATCTTGGAGAAAGAAAGTGAGTAATGAAATCTTGGAAAAAGAAAGTGAATAATAAAATCTTGGAGAAAGAAGTGAGTAAGAATATCAAAGAGAAACATAAAATATATGTAGGATTTTTTGAAATATGAAGAGATTGGAAAAAAAGAAAGATTGACTTGGGCAAATTAAGGAAGAGAGAACAATCTTTTTAATGAAGCAGAAAAAAATAAAAAAATGAAAGTTATGAAAATTATTCGTCTACACATTTTTAAGTAAGTTAAATTATTATTTTATTTATATACTAAAAAGTTTTTTTTTCTTTATATTAAAAACTCTAGTTCTGTATTAAAAATACTAAATATTATTATTGAAATACTTATGAACCTATTATTTTAAAAAATAAGGCCCCCTAAATTTTGGGGCCTAAGGCACACGCCTTACTCCACATAGGGTTGGAGCCGGCCCTGTAATTCTGTATATCAGTTGAAAACATTAAGATTTTGCTAGCCCTTCATTCAATTTTCAGATTGTCAAAAATGAGAATTATATGTATAGTTGAATTTTTTTTCGAAATTGTATCGTTATGAGTTCTGAGTGTGATTGTATTAGTATTCTTTTTACATGTATATGCGTAGTTCGAGCTGAAAGCAGAGAACTTGCCCTAAATTCACACATTCAAATGTTCCTTTTGTCTCTCTGAGTCTTGATGTTCCTTTTTAATTAACAAAATTTGCAGATTGTGGAGCAGCCTGTGAGGCAAGATGCCGTCTAGCATCGAGGCAGAAAATATGCAAGAGAGCATGTGGGACTTGCTGCGCGCGTTGTAACTGTGTGCCACCTGGCACTTCTGGTAACCAAGAGCTGTGCCCCTGCTACTTTGCCATGACAACCCATGGAGGCAAGCGCAAGTGCCCCTGAATATATATAAGGACTTTAACAAATATGTATAAATATTAGAGTTTACATTTACGAATACTTTCCTGTCTAAATATGTATGCTTGCTAGGTTGATCACTCGTCTATGTATCGTTGTATATGTAGCTCGATCTGTAGCATTAAGGGGTATGGCTTATATATAAGATGAGAACCTTTTGGACGTACGTGTTTGACGCAAGATATATGCTAACCTGAATTACTAGGAGTACTACTTTGTGATATAAATAAGTACGTGATTGTTACTTACATGTTTAAGGTAATTGATTGCATATCACGTCCTGTTGATTGACTAGTGATTTTGACATAATATCCAAAATTGGGACGCTTATTAAATTTTAGGATTTTTTTACTCGTATTCACTTGTTTGCTCAAAAGTTATCACATACCTTATGAGCATAAAACAATATAAATAAATCACGGGAAAATCATAACAAATCGTAATAATTCATTGGACCAAATGAAGGAAACGAAAATAAGTGCTCAACTTTAGGAAGAGAAATGTAAAAGCTTTTATTCATAATAGTGCTTTGGTCTGCCTCTCCATGAAGAGGTCCAGAGCCTTACAATGGTATTCCACATATGTGCATCGTTCTCCCTTTTCCTCTCTCCTCTCAATAGTTTCAGAAGAAGCCCCCCACCCCCCCCCTCCCTTTTTCAGGGTTTCCTCTCTTGGTATTTATAGTTGTGAGCTTCGTGAGCTGACAGTAAGTGGCCGTGACCACGTTGGGGTTTCGCCTTCATGACGACGGATGAACCGTGGCCTTGTTGATCTAATCAGATAAGGGTTCAATATCGTTAATTCTGAGTGGTCGTACCACTAACTAATCACGAATTAGCTTGAGACGGGATTAGCTTCGTTAATTATCGCGGGGTCGGATTCTGACCCATACAGTTAGTCCCTCCGCTTATTGAGGTCGTGCTTTGGCCGAGCTCGATGAGTGGATTTCATCGACTGTAGTTTGAGAAACTCGGATAGGGAGGTCGACTGTCGCTTCGGTCGAGACCGAATTCTCTTTGGCGGTGGCCCTTAGCCTTGTAGAGCGTTAGTATTTTGTTATTGTGCTATTAAGTCATCGTTCGATCGAGGTCGAACTCCTCCTTGGCGAAGGCGCTTGACCCTTTAACTCACTTCGAGTGGGGTTGAGCTTTATTGTGCTCTGATTCTTACGTTTGTTTTGGGAGCATACCCGTCGACCATGGCGGACGGGTCGTATGTTGTGCGGCCGAGGGGAGTAAGGGCACGCTTGATACGTGTTTGGCGATGTCAAAAAATTTCTAGGGCGCACGGAGCATCTCCTCATCGTTCATAGGTCGTTACAACCATTTCGAGGGCGAGACGCCGATTGGTGACTGCAAAGCTGCTTCATGGAGCCTGTCATAATGACGCACATTCCTATGGAATCGAACCGGTGTGCGGTTGGTCATGCAGTTAATGGTGGCTATTGGGTTCATGAAGGCCACTTGTGTTGCCTATAAATAAAGGCTGAAGCATTCATTTTTTTTTATATTCTTATTGTTTGTCTGAGAGAGATTCTGAAGAAGCTTTCCTTACTGCTATTTCACCTTCGTCTTCATCCCGCAAACTTTGTTTCTTCCTCGTTATTGAATCAACAATGGCAGACAGTTCTTCCCAAAACGTTCTTCCGATGGATCTTCCGGTTAACTCTCCGGTGATTGAGGGGCCATTTCCGGCAATGGGCGATGCAGAACTGGTGGAGACCGGTGAAGCTCCATCGGTTGACGAGATAGTATCTCTGCCCGGAGGTCCGATGACTGATTTCACCGCCGATGGCGGGGAGGATCAGGTGGATGAAGCCCCATTAATGGGGGAGATTGGGATGTCCCGACTACGGGGACAGGGGGTCATTCCCGGCTATGTTGACGTCGTTCTCGCTAGAAGCGAGGAGAGGGTCCACGCCGACCGCAGGGGATACTGCGTCTTTTACGCCTATCCCTTCAAGTTGGGGTTTAAGCTCCCGCTCCCAATTCTAGTGGTTGATTTCTGTCGTTATTACAGGGTATGCCCGGGTCAGCTTACTCATTCGCTTTATAAATTATTAGCAATGCTTATCAAATACGCAGAATTGGCCGGTAGGGAGGTCACGCTGCAGCATGTGCTTAGTCTCTACGCTCCCCAGAGGGTTCGCGGTACCATGATTCAAGCGTGCCCTCGTGGGTCGAGGGGCCTGACTGCGAAGCTGGATGATGAGGTCGACCCTCGCCCTTTCGAGCACTTCTTCTACATCAGGACTGAACATTTAGTGGTGTGCTCTACTGGATTCCCAGAGGCTTGGAATCATGCACGTAAGTTCCTTAATCATTGAATTCCCTTTTTTGCCCCTCCTTACGTCTTGTGCTCATAAACGTTAACTCGTATCAATTTTGTAGCCGAAAAGTCGCCGCCGGCTCCGTTGGCTGGGATTCGTGAGTGGGTTGAGGCCGTGCTCCCCCATACGGTGGGGATACGCACATGGGCGTCTTTCTGGGAGAGGCATGGCCGTAGACCTGTGGCAGGTAAAAAATTGATTTCTTCTTCTGTTCCGCTTTGTTTCGACACTATTCATCAACTTTGTTTTTCTGTGATCAGGGAGGGCACGCCGCGTCAGGGCCCCTCAGTTGGCCTTCCGTCGGCCGGGTGCAATCGCTCGACTTACTGCGGCGCCTGTGTCGCGCTCAATACCGAGGGCGGCATCAGTTGAATCTTCAGCGGTTCCTTCTCCAGCACGGGCCGCACTTCGGGACGAGGGGCCATCGGGGGTTGTGCGCCCTAGGGCGGAATCACCATCAGACGGGGATGAGGAGAGGCCCTTGATAAGGCGTAGGGTCGTGTTCACACCGGCTCCTCCTGTGGTAATTAATTTGGACTCTCCTCCGACGGATGCGGGAGGGGTGCGGTCGCGGCGCCTGCTCTTGAGGGCGGACAGCCAATGGGGGTTGCCCTGGCTGGCTTAGGCCATGATGATGCCGTCGCTTCGGCGACTCAGTTGGTGGTTCCAGTCGCTGAGACGGGAGGTAGTTCCTCAGCGGCTGGTAATGTTGGTGAGTTAAGCACTCCTTTGGCGGCTGCGGCGGGAGGTTCCACCTCGCTGGCGGCTGAAGGAGGAAGGGATGCTGTAGAGGGTGAGTACGAGTCTGAATCCGACTTGGACCACGACGACGTCCGTATGTTCCAGGAAGGCTTCACCAATTCAGCGGTGCGCGCAGAGGGGCTGTCTCGCTTCGTCGAGGTTCCCACGGAGCTGAACTTATTGCTCCAAGGGAGTAGCTTGGTCCCGCAGTTTGAGCTGCTGTGCTCGGAGGCCGAGAACGCGTCATTGAGGGGCGTCACGGATGTCGGACTGATGAATGAAGTGGCTGTGATGGGCTTGAGGGTATGTAATATATGTCGGTTCGCTTCTTTTTCGTCTTAGTTTGAACTTTATCTTAATCGTTGTCTTTGCTTTGCAGTCTTATTTGTTGGAGGTGGAGAGCATCCGTCGAGCCAACGTCCGTTCGGGGATATTTTTGCGGGCGCTGGAGAAATACCGCCGCTACCGAGATCGGTGCCGAGAGATGCGCATGTGCTTGAGGAATGATCCCCGTAGTCGGACCTTGGTCGAGGAACTGGCGAGGCGGGAGCTTCAGATGCAGCAAGCACTTGGCAGAGCGAGTGCTCTCGAGGAGCAGCTCCGGAGGAAGGATGAGGAGCTTGAGGCGGGGAGGAGGGCTACAGCTGAGTGTGAGCGTCAGGGCCAGGCTAAGGCGGCAAAGGCCGCTGCGGCATGGAGCGGGAAAGTGACTGCGTTGGAGGGTGAAGTCGCGGTATTGAAGCTTCAAGTGAGGGATGCCTCGTCGAGGGCTGGGGCGTTGAAGGAAGCTATTCGCGTGCACGAATCCCAACGGGCGTTGGAGAAGGATATTGCGGCCTTTAGAGAAGCGAGTCTCGAGGAGCGGATCGATGTCTTTGAGCAGGACGCCCAAGTCATGGAGGATCGAATTACAGCCTTAGAAGAAGAGAATCAGCGCCTACGGAATCAAGCCGCTTCTTCCAGCCAGGCTCGAGAACTTTGGGTCTTTGCCGAGGCCCAACGTGATATATATAAGAATTTGTGGGAAGCCGGCATCGTGACCGAAGCTGCTTTCGAGGGGGCGCGTCAAAAGGCTCGTGAGGCCCGTGCCGACTGTGGTTTTGACGCGGCGACGCCAGAGGCTGACACTGGCGCAGATGGCGCCGAGTAAAAAGATGTTATGCATTTTTTCTTGTCTTGTTCGCCGTTTGGCGTTTAGGTGTTTCTTGTTTTTTTTTTATTGATCGGCCTTGGCCGGGTGTAAGCGGGGATGACCCGCAATTAATTTCGTGGATAAATGAGATCTCCTTTCCATTATTTGCCTTGTATCTGTTTTGTACCTCCTCTTTTTCCCCTTTAGATTTTTCTTTGCATGCGCTCGAAGGGGTGATTTGCCTTTGAGTTCGACTCTGGTAGGCATGTTAGTTTTTGATTGTTGACGACTTTTCTTCTTCGACTCGGGGTGAGCGGGTCAGAGCCGTTGCTTGGCGATAGCGGCACTTAGCCCTTAGTCATAGTCCCAGTTCGGGCGTGGTCGAACTACCGACCGTGGTGGAAAAAAAACATGCGGCCTTGTAGTTTGACCGGGGTCGGACTTTACGTGCCCCCAATCTTAGTTTGAGTTGGGAGTACTTACTTGAGGGGCGAGGGTGCCTACCCTGCGCCTCGATTCGTTGGAGGTCGGATTTTGCTGAGTTCAACGATGAAGGCGCTCGGTTCGAGTCCCGGTTCGAATATGGTCGAACTAGTTAGATTTGAGGACGAAGGCGTCTAGCCTCATGGTTCGAGCGCGGTCGAACTCGTTGGATTTGATGGCGAAGGCGCGTAGCTTGAGTCTTTGTTTAACCGCAGTTGAACTTACTGGCGAAGGCGCATAGCCTTGATTTAATGGCGAAGGCTCATGGCCTGAGTCCCAGTTCAACTGTTGTTGAACTTTTGAGATTTTGATGGCGAAGGCGCACGGCCTTGATTTAATGGCGAAGGCGCATAGCCTGAGTCCCAGTTCAACTGTTGAGCTTTATCGATTTTGATGGCGAAGGCGCATAGCCTGAGTCCCAGTTCAACTGTTGTCGAACTGTCAATTTTGATGGCGAAGGCTCATGGCCTGAGTCCCAGTT